TGCTGAACAGAGGTGTTGTTCATGGTTAGTTCATGTTAACTAATGTTAACTAACTACGCTGTTAATGTGAATAGATGCATTAATATATGTGTGAGTTAACAATAACAAAGATTAACTAATGCTGGACAGAGGTGTTGATCATGGTTAGTTCATGTTAACTAATGTTAACTAATTGCGCTGTTAATGTGAATAGATGCATTAATATATGTGAGTTAACATTAACAAAGATTAACTAATGCTGGACAGAGGTGTTGATCATGGTTAGTTAATGTTAACTAATGCATGAACTAATGTTAACTAATTGCGCTGTTAATGTGAATAGATGTATTAATATATGTGTGAGTTAACTAACAAAGATTAACTAATGCTGGACAGAGGTGTTGATCATGGTTAGTTAATGTTAACTAATACATGAACTAATGTTAACTAACTGCGCTGTTAATGTGAATAGATGCATTAATATATGTGTGAGTTAATGTTAACAAAGATGAACTAATGCTGAACAGAGGTGTTGATAATGGTTAGTTCATGTTAACTAATGCGTTAACTAATTGTGCTGTTAATGTGAATAGATGCATTAATATATGTGTGTTAACGTTAACAAAGATTAACTAATGCTGAACAGAGGTGTTGATAATGGTTAGTTCATGGTAACTAATGCGTTAACTAATTGTGCTGTTAATGTGAATAGATGCATTAATATATGTGTGAGTTAACGTTAACAAAGATTAACTAATGCTGAACAGAGGTGTTGATCATGGTTAGTTAATGTTAACTAATGCATGAACAAGCTGTTAGCTAACAGCGCAATGAAGCCATCTCATCTTCAACGGCATCTCCGGACTAAACACCCACATCAGGTCGGGAACTCACTGGAGTTTTTCAGAAGAAAATTTCATGAATTTACATCATGCCAAGAGAACATGAAAAAAGCCACAAGTGCATCAGCAAAAGCACTCGAAGCATCTTATGCTGTGTCTTTACTTTTGGCGAAAGCTAAAAAGCCATTTAGCCTGGCTGAGGAACTGATAATTCCTGCTGCAGCTGTGCTCGCTGAGACCATGCTGGATAAAACAGCAGCAGACAAGATTAAAACTGTACCACTGTCAAATTACACCGTTTCGCGTACAATTGACAAGATGGGGACTGATATAGTTGAGCAACTGTTGGATAA